TCAGTACTATAGGAACGGCTATGAACTCAACTACTAAAACAGTTGGAACGAGATTTGACAGCTCATCAGGGCTGTCAAAACCAATCATAAGGACTCTCCATAGAAAAGCCTTCAAAACCTGGCATGTTGCACGAAGTTGGCCACCAATACCGACTATACCGAGAAGAACGTGGTTTACATTACCTCCTCCACCTTGGCTTCGTCGAAGAACAACAACTACTCGGCTTCGTCGAAGAACAACAACTGCTCCTACTACAACTAAAACTACAACTTCTACGACAACAACGACTACGACGACAACTACAACAACGACAACAACAACCACAACAACAACAACCACAACAACAACAACAACAACGACGACGACGACACCGACGACGACAACCACAACGAGAAGAAAAACAACTACTACACCTAAGACAACCACTACTACTAGACCTAGGACCACTATTGGTAAAAGAAAAACAACGAGGATCACAGCTATGCCGGGAATCAAACCAACCACGAAGATTTTATCAATTAGAAATCGTACGGCTGCTAGGATCTCTACCTCCAGCAAGACTGTGAATATCTTGTCAAAAGCCACTGGGTAAATAATCTGATATTTTAGCGTCGACAAGATTTTCTCGCGGTGCCAACGCAATGCATATTGTTTGTTTCAATTAAAATTGTAACGTAGTTTTGCGCGCTGCGGTGAGCCCCGGCTGCGACGCATTGCCAGAGCATGTACGTAGACCATGTTAATCGAAACAGACTATCAATTAATCAACGGCTACCATTCTTTTGAAACCTCTGCTACAAAACAAACTCATATTGAAAGAACTTTATTGACAAAAAGAAAACGTCTTTGTATGATTCATACCATAGCTGTATACCATTTCCATAAAGGCGAAAAAAGGCTGTGAGCATTGCGAGAAAGTTTGATTAGCATCCTACTTTATGCATTACAAGAAAGAAGGTAAATCTGAGTTACGGCTTATAACTCCAAGATATTTTTAGAAGTCTACCTCCTTTACCAATAGAAGAAATTTCTGAAGAAGATGATGAAGATGAAGGCAACAAAATGTGAGGAAAGTTGTCCTATCAGTAGATTTATCACATATGACATTATGGTTGAATTCCAAATCATAGTAAAAGTAGCGCTCTGCACAATCAAAAGCAACTCACTTCGAGGAGCTAGTGGAAACACAATCTAATTGAAGGCTAATCACTTGTCGGAAAATGTGCTTTTGACCTTAAATATAAACTTAAATTCGACATTGCGCTAATTTTTAATATCCTTTTTATCAGAGTTACTTGTGAAAGCTTCCAGAATCCTTATCCTTTCTGGCGTTGGAGCAGCAGCGGTAATTTGTTCGGTGGTGCTCTTTACTTTTACTTATATACGCCATAAAAGAGCAGAAAGACAAAAACTGGCATCATGTAAGTTCCATGGCACTTACAAGAAACTTTTTAACTCCTCTCATCAATCATGCTTAGATCAACCAACTAGAAGAAGAAGAACCGGCAAGGCCCCTCCACCAAAAACCGAATCGATAAACGAAAAAACGAAACTGCCTTTGCCCAGCTGGTTATCATTGGTAACGTTTCTCCTTAATTTGTTATCCAGATGAGTGAGAATACAAATCCTAGATTTTTGCGATAGAAACAATTTGCTTAGATTTCGGTTAGTGAATGCTTAGTTAGTCAAAAAGAACACCTATCTAGCCCGTATGGCAGTATTTTTTAAAGGGTTGCTCACCTTTCAAACATGATTGAATGAAAGTGCTCACCAGTATCAGTACTGCAGAGCAACGATGAAAT